CCGGTGCCCCTGTTCGCCTCCCTCGGCGGCGGCCATTGCGATCCTCATCCTGAGAAGCAATTAGGGCACGGGGGCTCGTCCACCGTCTCACCGCTTCCCGCTCGAGCGCTCACGGTGCCCGTGGCCCCCGCGGCGTGTTCGAGGCTGCCTTGCGCTGCGCTGCGTGCGAGTGCCGGGGCCGCGGGTGCGCGCGTGCGCCCAGCGGCCCACCCAAGAGAACGGACGATCGAGGATCGAGGTGTGCCTCAATCACTGCTTGCACCGACGGGGTCATCGCAGGGGTCTGAGCAGCTTGGGCGAGGGCCAGGCTGCCAGTGTCTGGGGTTCGGCGAGAGTAGGCAGTAGACAGTGAACGTTTAGAGAGCAGAGGAAACGAAGCGTAGATTGCAGGGAGTGACGAGCGGAGCGCGGAGTGCAGCAAGCAGAGGACACACGCTTTCTCGTCTATGGTGGCCTTCGGCCCGCCGCGTCACCGTGATGGGTCGCAGACCATAGGCCTCAGGGGTCTGTCGGGGTGCCTCTCGAGGTCTCTTGGGGGGCTCTTGGGGGCTCTCGGAGACCTGCCGGCGGTCTCCGGGGTAATTTTGGGGCGGAGGACTCGAAACTTCAGTTCGCGTTTCCCCTCTTGGGCCCCTACTCGGGCCGTCTTGGGCCATCTTGGGTCCCTCTTGGGCCGTCTTTGGGGCATCTCGTGAGTCAACTCGGGGCGATCTCTGGGGCCTGTTCGTCCGTCTTGGAATCGAAAAGCCGAGACAGCAAACTTCCTTTGTCTCTTGGGGCCCTCCTGGGGGTCCTCACGGGGCCCTCTTGGGCCGTCTCGTGGGCCTCTTGGATTGTCTTGAGGGCATATTGGCCGTCTTGGATCGTTTTCGGGCCGTCTCCCGGACCTCTTGGACCGTCTTGAGGAATCCCGCGACACGCCACAGCAGGTATTCGTCAATACGCTGGGCACCCTTTGCAGATTCGGCAGTTGGGGATTTTGGCAATTTAAAAATTTATGTGTAGCCCTGATATCCTTTGCGTACCTCAGTGCGTTGCTTGTTGATGGCCCGAAGTATTTCGCCTTCTTTTTGCGGCCTGGAGGCAGGATCCCGGGAACCTTGGAGACCTCCTGGGACCCCTGGTGACCTCCATCGGCCTCGAGGGAACTAAGGAGACTTTTCATCCCCTTTCCTCGTCCCTTTTCCTCATCCCCTCTTCGGTTTTCTTGATTTCAAAAATTTGATTCTCCCCCCTCCACCCCCGGACTTTTCCGTGGTTGGTTTCGCTTGTGAAATCAAATATGGTCCTGACCCCTCGTCCATCTTAAGTATGAGCTTGTACCATCCCAGCCAGGTCGGTATCGACCCCTCCCCCGCCATCCTCTGCAGCATATCTTATGCGCGCGCTCTCGTCTATCAAAAATCATCAGTTTTCAAGAGCTCTTTGCAATAATGTACGAAATGCAGACGGGCGCGTCGTCGGGCGCGCATGCCGAAGTCTTTCGACAACCTCAGGTTTTGTAGGGATTTCAAACTCGAGAAACACGGCAATATATAAACCACATTGTTTTGCAACAAGAGTTGTCCAAACATGTTTGCGCCCGCGTTCTTGCGACTTCTTAAGAAAACCAAGACGTCTTGCAACAGTTTCATAACCATGCTTCCAAGTTGGCCCCTGGCACGCGAGTGTCGAAATCGTTCGAACGCCATGCTGTCGCAAGAAACCCTTGCACCAAATGGGACGACGTGCACACGCGCGCGTCGTCGCGCGCATGCCGAAGTCGCTAAATTTTCGGTTTTGCAAGGGTGTCAAACTCGAGTTCCCCGAAAACATATAAACAACACATGGTGATTCAGCATCAGCTTTCAAAACAACCTGCGCTCGCGCTCATGCGGGTTCTTAAGAAAAACAACACCTCCTTTCCAGCATGTTGTTCATGACAGTCTGCCAAAGGACCTCTCACGCCGCATGTCGAACTCATTCAAACGCTCTTTCGCGCGTGGTTTGGGGGGGGGTGCGATCCGTGCCAAATAATACCACGCGGACCACTCGCGCGCGTCGGCCGCGCGCTCATGTCGAACTCCTTACAAAACCTTCATCGCCGACGCGAGGACATCGTGATCGTTATCAGCGGGCGTGATCAGCATTGGCGCCGTCATTGGCCTTGCCGTCGTCATTGCCACCTTCGCCACCATCGCTACTCTAGTAATCGTATCTACCTTTGCCGGCGTCGCCATGATACCGCGCCCGCCCAAGCCCCCGACTCGCACTGAGGTGCCCGCTGGGAAGAGCCCAGCGGTCAGCGCCACCGCGGCCGCGTCGGTCGCGCCAAGCTAACTGGCCGCTGTGCGCGCGAGCATGCGCGGGCTAGCGCGGCCGCAGAGATGCACCAGCCACCTGCCAAGCACTCATCGCAATCGCCGCCGCATGGGTTTTTCAAGCCAAATTGCGGGTGTGTGGGTGGGATGTTTCCAAGAGCGTGGAATGTGTCAAGTCATCTGTCACAAATCAATCCCACCCTTACTCCCATGCCCCCCTCCCGCTCCCCCCCGCCCATCCCACCCTCTCCTCCGCTGCTCCTCCCACCCCTTCACCCGTTCTCCCTTCCCCGTTTCTTCCGCCTCTTCTTCCCCTTGGTGGCCAGTTTTCAGGAGCAGTGGGAGGGAGAAGCAGGTGAAGAAGAAGTTGGATGATGATGATGATGATGATGATGATGATGATGATGATGATGATGATGCTGGTGATGTTGATGATGACGTGGGGAAGACGGGTGAGGAGGGGATTGATTATGAGTGTGAGGGAAAGGAGGCTGGAGCTGGATGGATGGCGGGAAGAGGAAGAGGGGGGAGGGCATGTTCTGCACGCCCCATTGGGAATGCACCACTACGGTGGTCAGCGTTGCTTCCGCCTAGGCCCCCCGGGCGATCCCAGAGGTCCAATATGTGCAAGGCGCAGGAAACGTACCCATGTTTGCCACCGTGGATCCCAAGCAGCAACTGATTGCACCCTGGATGGTACAACCTATGTTCTGCAAGACATTTAGTACACGGTGCGCGCTGTGAGCTTTGTAGTGCAATAACTGTGGTGTAAGCCATGTCTGGCATGTTACGCGGCGCAGTGTCGCGATCTATGTGCCGCAAGCGATGCAGTGCAATTTGCGCGCTGCAGCCCATGTGGTGCAACCTATGGGATGCCAGTGTCCCTTGCAGAACTCGGACTCGCCAGCTCCAATGCGCGAGCGACCACCCGGCCCGCCCACCCGTAACGTGTTGGCAAAACCCAGTTGGCGCAGTCACGCGAAGACCCTTCACGATGCAGGCCCATGATTCAGAAGGACCAGTGACGATGGAGACGACGTCGGCGACGAACTTGATGATGGTGATGGTGGTGGCGACGATGACTTGGGCAACGACAGCGATGATGACTATGATGAATGTGATGGCGACGCTGTTGATAACGACGATGATTGCGATTGTGATGAAGATGACTGTGATGATGATGGCGATGGCAATGATGACGCTGGTGTCGATGACGACGGTGGTGTTGATCGGGGCGATGTGGCAATGCGCGCACGCAGAATTTCTGGCATAATATGGTTTCAGCGAACAAAATTGTGGGTCGTTGGTTGTGTGCTCTAAAACCCCTGTCATTCGATGCTCAGGTCGCACTTTGTTGATTTCGACATGCGTGCGCGTGTGGCCCGCGTCTGTATGGTTTGACAGCGGACGGGCGCGTGGTGACTGATGACCGCTTTCGGCATGCGCGGCGTGTTGACCGCAAGGTCCCATGTGAAAGAATTCAGCAACCAGTGTTTTCTTTGTGGTGCCAGCGATCAGGGACAGAAGCCTGGCACTTCACGTCAGCAGTGCTTGACTGGCCCGTTATCTTTAGTGTCTTGGATGCGTTGAGGTATTTCTCCCGGTGGCCGCCCGTGGTGGCTCGTGGGCCCCTCGTTCGCTGGATGGGTCTGCCAAGGTGTTTGCGCCACATGGCTTGCAGTGCATAGCTGTCAGCCCTTTCCTTGCAACTCTCTGCCCACATCGCATCACACAGCTCGCGCATCATAGCTTGAACCGCCCGTAATTTCCACCACACTGCTTACACCACATGCCTTGTGTCACACATGCTTCGCACCACACTGCTTGCAGCGTGCATGCCTTGCACCGCGTAGCATGCACCACACAGCTTACACACTCGGGGTGCGAGATCTTACTATTCGGGGTTCGCGCTGATAAGCAGCTCCTCTAAAAAACATGAGGTGCTGGTCGCTGCCGTTGAACATTCATGATTTGGAGGGTTCGATCGGTGTTGGCATCGGTTTGAACGGATTTTGACATATGCGCGCGTGCGTGGTCCGCATCGATTTTTGATACGGAGTCCTTGCACGTGCCGTTGTGGGATCAAAATTGGCTGGGATGGTACGTCTTCATATTTGGGACGGGCGATCCGGCAGAATGAGGAGGGGTGGTGTGAAGTCTGTCGTCGGCAAGGGGGGTCGATTCTTCTCTCCTGCCGGAGAGAGGAGACACGTGTCTTAAAAGACGTGTTGTTGATCCCGCTGTGTGCATCGTGACACGTGAGGCATTACAGGCAGGGCATTGCCTTCGAGGGTCGAAGGATGGCCACCTCTTCCGCGGCGGAAGGGCGGCGGAAGGCTGGCGGAAGGCGGCGGAGGTAAGAGATTCGCCCCCGTGGGATGAAAACGCTTTTGGGCCCAGGGTTTCCGAAATCCGCCGCGCGCGTCAGCGCGCAAGTCGGCGACGGGCGGGCGGGCGGGAGGCGAAATCCCACAGCCGCAGGCCCGCGCACGGGGCGGCGACGAAGCAGCGACGGGCAGGCACCGACCGGGGCGAGGCCCCTGAGCCCGCGGGCCAGGCAGACGGCAGCAGGAGCAGGAGCTCCGCCGTGCAGGCACTGCTCGGGGGCACGCCTCCTGAACTCTAGCGAGGACCTGCCTCCTCGACGGGAAAAGTCCTGCCTCCTCAACCCTCGGGGGCAGAACTGGGCCGCCCTTGGAGGCGATGGACGTGTACACCAGCCACCCCCTGGACCACCCGGTCTGGCAGCTGGCCGCCTTGGCCCGCCGCTCCCCCATCGCCTTCCTCGTCCTCGTCTTCGCCCGCGTCGTCGTCATCGGCGATGCTACCGTCGTCGCTATCGTCCTCTTCTCATTCTCTTCCTCCTTTTCCTCCTCCTCCTCCTCCTCCTCCTCTTCCACCTCCTCTGTCTCTGCTCATATTGTACGTATCTAGTGGACTTCCTCCCATCCTGCCACCGCGCCTAGATTGCAGGTCAGAGGCTTTTTGGATTCCTTTGGGGATCTCTTGGGAAGCCTGATGGGAACCTCTTGGAGACGATTTTTGGTGTGTCTGTGGGCCTCTCGGGTCCGCCCTTCCCTTTCCTCTTTTCACCCGTGCCCCCACTTGTGACCAGTATATGCCCCACTCGGCCACCTAGAACCGGCCGATGGGGGGTCCATCCGAGGAAGCCCTTCTTATCCATCAAGAGCCAGTGGAACTTCTACGCAGGTCGGGCGCGATGGGCCGAGCCGTCGCTCCCGCCTCGGCGCCGCGCAGCTCTCTCTGTGCAGCTGGCCTCCCGTGGCGGCGCGGCGCACGCGTGTGGCACACACCGCTTCGTCGACGCGCAGGCGCACCCGCGCGCCGCTCCCCCTGCGGCGCCGCGGCAGCCTCCGCGCGAGAGGGGGCGCCCCCGCCCCGGCGCGGTGCGCAGGCCCCGCTCGCCGAGCTCCGGATGCCCAGCGCGAGCGGGCGCCTCGGCGGCCCTGCCAAAGCGCGTGCCGCCCCGGAAGAGCGCGGGCGCGCCGCGCGTCCCGTTCTCGCCGCGTCGCAAGGCGGCGGCAGCTGCAGCGGGGCCGCGCGCGCAAGAGCGGGCGAGGCGTCGTCCTCGCCAGAGCGCCGCGCACTCCTCTGCGAGCGGAGGTGGCGGTGCTGCCTCGGCGCGGCGCACGCCTCGTCGTCGCCGCACTCGTCGCGAGTGTTGCCGCTCCCGTTCCTGCGCGGCCCGCGCAGCTTTCCCTTCGCCAGTCTGTCGGGAACGGGACCGCGCGCGAGCGTCTCCCGCTCACTGGGTGGGAAGGCGTGCCAATTCCCATATCAAGCTGTGGCACATCGGATTCTCATGTTGTGGGCAGGAGGGCGGGAATTGGCGGGGCCCGCTGACTCGTTC